AAAAAAAAAAAGGGACCCGCCTAGGCGGCCGCCTAGCGCCTAGGCCGATTTTTCCAACAGCCTAACTACAAGTAATCTGAATGCATTCCACTAAAAAGCAGGAAGCAAAGTAATTGGAGAGTGAGCTTAGTGAAAAGAAAAACCTTGGGTTGAAGAAACTATCCCACCAGTCGGAGTCTGCGGCTTTAGGCTCGACTGGAACGCTTTTTCTTCAATTTCCTATCTTTCTTGCTTTTCTTTGATTTCTTGGGAGTCTCCATGAGAGCTCAAATGAGGAATTGCTCACCTCTTTTTCGGCCTTGAACTTGAAGACTTTGATGGGAAGTGCGATTCAGTGAAGCGAGCCAGTCAGCGAGGGAAATGTAAAGCTTGTATAGCCTTTTTTGGCCTTTGTTTTTCTTTTTAATAAATAGTATAGCCGCGCGGCTGTACGCTTTAAATATAATATATTTTAAAAAATAGTATGGCATATTTTCTTCTTCAATTTTTTTTCCTTGATTTTCGTTTATCAGGGCTACAAGCTCAGTTGGCTGCCTATATTCCAGGTGTCATCTCTTTGAAGGAGTGTACAACAGCACCTGAGAAGCATGTGCTTGCAGACGCCACATCTCATAAACTAGACACAGAAGAATCCGAGGTAATCTCTCCATGTCTGTTTATACATTCCCTCTGCAATGGGAAATTGGACTGAGGTGATGATCCATTTATTAAAGCTTCAATACTCTCTTCTTTTTTTCTATCTGGAACTTAAAAGTTTTACTCCATTAATTTCCTTATCCATAATGGGTTAGCAGTTTTTAATTGGTCCTGCACATTTTCTGTCCTCTTTTGAACCAGTATGAACTCTTCAAAAATGATCTAGACATGCACCCATGAGTTCTCACTAATGCAATTATGTTCTTTGCTTCAATGCCATCGTGTATGGTCTTCTAGCCAGAAAGTCTTTTGAAAGACTTGCTTTTTCAATGAAGCACATTTCAATGAAGAAGAACATTTCAATGAAGTCAGTTGCTTTGTCAGGGCACCACAGTGTAAACCTTTGCATCATCCATTTCCGGGCTTCTTACTGAGTACTGAAACGTCCATGGCAAGCACTAGCATGCACACCCTTCTTATTGATGTCAAACACAGCTCCTAAAAAATCAGGGAATTTTCTCGCAATTCGTGATATTGCATCCTTCGCAGCAAGATTAGGTTCCATCCCCAATCTCATACTCTCCACAACTTGATAACTGCAGTTCAATCATTTAAAGTACATAGCTAGATTCATTAAATGGAAGTGACAGACTCAATAGAGGTGCATCAACATAAGTTTGACAAGGAATCTATTTCAATCATGGCCGCCAGCCAGAAGAAAATTAGGGACTAAATGCACAAGGGAAAGTACAAAACAAAGCCTCCTTACACATACACAACATATTCATTATATCAGATGAATGAACCTACATAGGAACTACCCAAGTAGTTTTCAATCCAAGTAAACCAGAACTAAAAATGTGATGGTTCAGATTGGCTTGCTATGTTCGTAACTAAAGCCAGCTTACAATGGTTAACAAGCCTCCTACAGGTATGTTTTGTTTAAGAAGAGTATTTACTTTATGTTTAGGACAAATTATAACACTGGATTGACTTCAACCTCTTCTGCAGATTAGAGTTTCACCCTGACCCCATAATGATTAACGCTATGAGAATATGCAAGTCTATAGCCAATGATTCATCAATACCTTAAAGGAAAAATTCTGAACATAAATAATTGTGGATTTCATTAGGAGGAAAGCCTAATCATCTAAAATACTAGGATTTGCTGACCCAAATTGACATCCTTTAGCAATATTCCAATGCTTCAGCCATCAAAGGAATGTTTGCTCCAAATTGACATCCTTTTCTTTTTTTTGAATAGTGTAATCTTTAAGAACATAGAGCTTAGGAATTAGGGGGTTTTGGCTTCTCTGTGCCACTTAGAGACAAAATTATGGCATAGAAATTATTCTCTAATGCTTAAACAATAGTAAATCCTGAAAAGAATTGTTTTTGTTTTAAAAAAAAAAAAACTGGAGAAAGTTTGTTAAATGTGAAAATCGTCAAATAAAAATAGTGGAGATGTACCTATTGCTGTAATTGACTAATGACATAAGAAAGATAAAGCAAAGAAAAATAAAAAGCAATGCCAATTCATGAAAATATATTAAGTGTTTGGTTGAATTGAAAACATACCTTCTTTTCTCTCCACGTGGACACTTCATGGACGCATGTCGGCTGCTTATACATATAGAGACTGAGGAGCAAATGCTTTTAATTTTGGACACCCATTTAATTTTACTTCCTCCAAGGCCGGCCACTTCAAAGTATAAGCTTCAGAGCAGAAAGATTCAAGTTCGGGTAAATCCACAAGTAAAATATAATTCACATGATTCGGTCTTAAACAGAAATGTCAATTCATCCTCAATACTTTCTCCTCCTCCTCCTGCCTCTCCAACAATTTTCTCCATCGCACTACAATGCTCAACAACTATTTTCTCAAGGCAGGTAAGAAGTTTGGCTATGTGCAGTGAAAACAAGTATCTCAAATTTTCACAGTCAAATAGCAGTAATCTCAGGTTTCCAAAGCCTGAGATAACTTGTAAACCCTTTTCCCATATGTTGGCGCTAAAACTAAACAGATAGAGATAGAATCAACTTACAGGTGATGTGGACAATCAAAAGACCGATTGAGCCTTTGGTATGACCACGTTCTTCCTTAAGATGATAGATAGAGATAGAAGCAACTTACAGATGATGTGGATGGTCAAAAGACCGATTGAGCCTTAGGTATGACCACGTTCTTCCTTGAGATGCCGGATCTGAGGCAAGGAGGAAAAGACAGCAAGTGAGGTCTACGGTACCGGTGTGATACCAGCCGAAGGCCCTCCGATGCTAAAATAAGTTTAAAGAGCTTTGGCTACTGACAATGTATAAGTCTAAAAGTCAAGTTTAAAGTCTTACCCTTGTCTAGGGCAAGGGAGACCCTATTTATAGAGAGTGTAAGTTATGCTCTTAGTACTTAGTTTCGATGTGGGACTCATGGGAGTGCCTCCTGAGCTCGACACAAGTCCGCAAATATCTAAGCGGGGAGTTAAAGGTTGTCCCGTAGAATCATCAAGGCATACCAATCGCTTGCTTGAGGGTCGTTCGGTAAATGGTACTGATGATATGTTCAGCAAGGCGCGAGGAAGAGCTCGCCGTTTGAAGGACCTGACGATTGAATCGGCGGCAGATGCTGATTCACACTCGAATGATCTATCGGTGCGAGTCGCAGGGTTGGCCTTAGCTTTGTCCTCTGTCCACGTGTCATGATGTGAGTGGAGGGTCAGATAGGGTACAAACAGGAGTCCCCCAAGTTTCCGATTGAGAAGTGACTTCTTGGTTGGGGACTTGCATGTGTCCTCGGCATTCTGACCCGGACGCGAGGGTTTTGTTCCTGCTTTCGTGGCTTGTCGATGGTAGTCATATAGTCCCCCAAGTCCCTCAGCAAGAGGGAACTTGGAAGAGGGGGTGGGACAGCATTAGATGCCGAACGAGTGAGAGGGTGAGTGAGGACTCAGTCACGTGCTACCACCGTTCGGTACGAGAGGTTAGTGAAGACTCATCTACGTGTGCCTGCTGTTCGGCACGAGAGGTGAATGAAGACTCAACTTACGTGCACCTGCTGTTCGGCACGAAAGGTGAGTGAAGACTCAACCTACGTGTGCCTGCTGTTCGGCACGAAAGGTGAGTGAAGACTCAACCTACGTGTGCCTGCCGTTCGGCACGAGAGGTGAGCGAAGACTCAAAACCCTCGACAAGCCACGAAAGCAGGAACAAAACCCTCGCTTCCGGGTCAGAATACCGAGGACACATGCAAGTCCCCAACCAAGAAGTCACTTCTCAATCTGAAACTTGGGGGACTCCTGTTTGTATCATATCTGACCCTCCACTCACATTGTGATACATGGACATAGGACAAAGCTAAGGCCAACCCTGCGACTCGCACCTGCCGCCGATTCAATCGTTAGGTCCTTCAAACGACTAGCTCTTTCTCGCGCCTCGCCGAACATATCATCGGTACCATTTACCGAACGACCCTCAAGCAAGCGATCGGCATGCCTTGACGATTCTATGGGACAACCTAGAACTCCCCGCTTAGATATTTGCAGACTTGTGTCGAGCTCAGGAGGCACTCCCATGAGTCCCACATCGAAACTAAGTACTAAGAGCATAACTTACACTTTCTATAAATAGGGTCTCCCTTGCCCTAGACAAGGGTAAGACTTTAAACTTGACTTTTAGACTTATACATTGTCAGTAGCCAAAGCTCTTTAAACTTATTTTAGCATCGGAGGGCCTTCGGCTGGTATCACACCGGTAACTTAGACCTCACTCGCTGTCTTTTCCTCCTTGCCTCAGATCCAGCATCTTAAGCAAGAACGTGGTCATACCAAAGGCTCAATCGGTCTTTTGACCGTCCACATCACCTGTAAGTTGCTTCTATCTGTATCTGTTTAGTTTTAGCCCCAACACCATATGGGGCTCATCGTTGGTAATCCAATCAACGTCAATTACCTCAGCTTATCAAATGCTTGAGTAGAAGGGGTTTCCTGAACCAAAAATATCACTTCCAATAAATTGCAATCACAAACATGAAGATTTTCTAGATTGTCACTAGCACTTGAGGTCTGAAGATTTCTCGGCATAACCTGCCAAAAGGGTAGAAAACTAATTGCATAATTTGTTAG